CTTCCAAATTTCTTGGCATAGACTAGTGAGCACTTTCAGTGTTGCATCTCAACTGATATTCCATCAATTCCTGAAGCCTTGTTTTTTTGCCAATGCCTTCAGTGCAACTTGGACTTCTTCCTTCAGTACCATTGGTTCCTGATCATACGCTATCTCCTGAAATGGTGGAATGTTGACCAATTCTCTTTGGTATAGTGACTCTGTGTATTCCTTCCATCTTCTTTTGATGCTTCTTGCGTAGTTTAGTATTTTCCCTGCAGAATCCTCCATATTGCAACTCAGGGCTTGAATCTTTTCTTCAGTTCTTTCAGCTTGAGAAATGCCGAGCATATTCTTTTGGTTTTCTACCTCCAGGTCTTTGCAGATGTCATTATAATACTTTAGTTTGTCTTCTTGAGCTGCCCTTTCAAATCTTCTGTTCAGCTCTTTTACTTCATCATTTCTTCCATTGACTTTAGCTACTCTACGTTCAAGAGCAAGTTTCAGAGTCTCTTCTGACATCCATTTTTGTCTTTTCTTTCTTTCCTGTCTTTTTAATGACCTTTTGCAGTCTTCAAGTATGATGTCCTTGATGCCATCACACAACTCGTCTGGTCTTTGTTGGTTATTAGTGTTCAGTGCATCAAATCTGTTCTTGAGATGGTCTCTAAATTCAGATGGGATATACTCAAGGTCATACTTTGGCTCTCGTGGACTTGTGTTAATTTTCTTCAGCTTCAACTTGAACTTGCATATGAGCAATTGATGGTCTGTTCCACAGTCAGCCCCTGGCCTTGTTCTGACTGATGATTGAGATTCTCCATTGTCTCTTTCCACAGATGTAGTCGATTTGTTTCCTGTGTATTCCATCCGGACCTATAGTAGCTGTTTATGTTGTTGAAAAAAGGTTATTTGCAATGAATAAGTCGTTGGTCTTGCAGAATTCAATCATGCAATCTCCGTCATCGTTTCTATCACCAAGGCCATATTTTCCAACTACCAATCCTGACGACTTACATATGCTAAATTTCCATGTAAACATGAATATGATTCTAGATGCACTCTTCTGTTCTATTGCTCTTTTTTTATTGTTGTAAAAACATATGTAACACAACATTTGCCAATTTAACATTTTTCACGTGTACGATTTAGTGACATCAATATATTGATCATGTTATACAGCTCTTTTTGATGCCTTTTTAGTTCCTTACCTCCCGTACACTAAGTAATCATGGTGATGTAGCTTCTACCCATTACTCTCCTGAAATTATTTTTCCTAAGCATATTAATAATGACCTTTGTATTGCCAAACCCAATGGATGTTTTTCAGTTCTTATCTTCCTAGACACCCTTTACCATTCCCTTCCATACATTACATGATTCAATTCTTCTTCATTTTCTCTACCAATAAAAATTATGATCAAAATGATCTGCTGTTAGTTGCCATCGAGTTGATTCCAACTAATGGTGACCCCACCCCCACCCCATGTGTGCAGAGTAGAACTGCTCCATAGGGTTTCCAAGGCTGTGACCTTTCAGAAGCAGATCGCCAGGCCTGTCTTCCAAGGCATCTCTGGGTGGGTTCGAACCACCAACCGTTTGGCTAGTAGTTGAGCACTTAATCATTTGCGCCACCCAGGGACTCCTGTAATCAAAATAGTATCGTCTGTTTATTAGGTAGTTACTCTGTGTCAGGCATGGTTCTAAGCATTTCATATGCCATACATGTCAAGTAAGCCTCACAACAACCTTCTCTTCTAGGTATTATCATAATCCCCATTTTACAGGTGAGAAAACTAAGACACGGAGAATTTAAGTATCTTGCCCAAGGTCCCTGAGTTAATAAGTGGCAAGATGGGATTTGAACTCAGGTCTGTCTGAGACCTAAGCCTATGTTCCTCAACACTCTCCTATCCAGCTGGTCATTCTCAGTCTCTCTCTTGGATTTCTTTTTCTCCAGCATCCTAAAGTGGTGAATTTCCCCCAGGATCCAGCCTTAGTCACTGCTCTTCTCAGTTTACACAAACACCCTGGGTAAAGCAGGGCATTCTGATGCCCCATTTCAGTGGAACTATCCTGACATAGCTATGTCAATATGGCCCTATCAACATGTAGAAAACACTGCTTTTTATGACCAATCTCTGGGGCTTGCTTCACCCCTGCTCCCCAGCCCAATTTCAGGAGGTTTTTCATTTCTACTTATTTGAGTTTGTATTATTTGATCTTTTATGAGTATGCATCACATTTCCAGAGGAGTCCTGTTGTGCAGTGGTTACGCACTCGGCTGCTAACCCACCAGTTTGAACCCACCAGTCACTCCGCGGGAAAAAGATGTGGCAGTCTGCTTCTGTAAAGATTACAGCCTTGGAAACCATATGGGGCAGTTCTACTCTGTTCTACAGAATCGCTATGAGTTGGAATCGACTAGACAAAAACAGGTTTGGTTTTTTGGTATCACATTCATCATCAGGAAAACCAATAAGGATATTTTAAAAATCTAAAGGAAGTAGATTAGCCTCTAAAGGGCAGTATCAGTTCAGTCCTCCCAAACCATCACTATGAAGCCATTTTCCCATGTCAGATATGTTTGTAGATGTTACTGAGAGAGCTGTGAGAAATGTAATTGAGGAGTTCCTGAGCAATCTGCAAATGAGAATAAGCATGCATACTGTGGTCCAAATATCCCCTTTACCCAGGGTCTAATTTAGTCTCAACAAAACAAGCTAGCACAATAAGAAAGCTTATTAAAAAACATGGTGTCCTTCTTCTAGATTTCAAATGGAAAACAGAATTTAGTTCGATCATTAAGAAGCAAAATATATTTATTCATTATAAGAAATGGAGTATGCCTGTTGTAACTTTAAGGGAGAAATAGAAGAATCTGAGACATGAATAATCTCAGAAGCAAGAGAAGCCTCAAAGGATGAACAGACACTTTGCTCAGGATGATGAACGGCTCTTTCTGAGATGAGCCGGTGTGATGACCATGTGATTTCTAGTTAAATGTGGTGTGACTGCCAGAAGGTGTCTGAGCTCCACCCCATTCCTGACCCCATCCCTCATTACATGCTCATCTCTGACCCTCACCCCACCCCTCACTCACACACCCTCAAACCTCAACAGTCTCTCCTGGTTCTCCTCCTACTTCTCTGATTATTCCTGTTCAGTCTCTTTTTAGGATGTCTTTTCCTCCACCTGCTTATTTAACATCCCAAGGCTTTTGTACTTAGCCCAATGTTCTTCTCACTCTACTCTGATCCCTGGGTAATCTTACATGTTCCCATGGTTGAAATGTATCACCTATACCCGCTAACCCAAGTCTTTATTTCTAGCCTGGACCCTCTTCTGACCTTCAACTCTTACATTCAACTGCCTACCGCTGAAGGTCATCATGTTAGACGTTCTATGGACAGCTCAAACTCAACATGTCCAAAGCAGAGCTCATTATTTTTAAACCAGCTTCTCTTTTTTATTTTTGGTGAAAATATACATCACTTCAACAAAACCTATACCACTTCAACAATTTCTACATGTATAATTCGGTGACATTGGTTATATTCTTTAAGTTGTGCCACTTTCTCGACAACCTTTTCCAAACTATTTCACCATCATTAACACAAACTCACTGCTCCCCTAAGCTTCTCATCTATCCTTTCAAGTTGCTGTTGTCAATTTGATCACATATAGATAATTCTTTACAAGAGTATAATGCTTAAATGCAGACATTCTTTTCTAATTATAAACCCTGCTTCTCATACCACCTCTCTTACTGAATGGCACCACCATTTGTCCGCTCTCCAAAGCCAGAAATTCTGAGCCTCATTCTAGATTCTTCTTTTGCCTTCACAACTTCACACCAAGTCTCTACCAAGTCCTGTTGATTCTACTTAGTCAGTATTTACTAAAGCTGTCTCCTCTTCCCTATGTCAGCACCTATTTTACCTACTTGGCTCCATATAATCGGTCCAGTAGTCTCCTAACTGATCTCTCTGCTCTTCTAGTCTATCTCTATACTATCCTAAAGCACCCTTTTCAAAGGCCGATCAGATCCCATCATTCTACTTCTTAAGACCTTTCAATGGCTCCAGATCGGCAAATTTCATAAATCCCTGCATGATCTGGCTCCTGCTTATTTCTTTAGACTCATTTTCCCCTACTTTTCTGCTAGCTCATGCCAAGCTCTAGCCCAGAGGCAGATCAGGTTTTGTGGTGCCTTAAGCTTATACAATTTGAAGGGCCCTTCAAGAAAAATTATACATTACAACTAAAAATTAGTTACAAGGCCTATAAAGGGGTCTGCGCAAGTCAGGGCACTGAAGCTTAAGCTTCGTGAACTTCACAGTAACTCTGCCTCTGGTCTAGTCAAACAGAGCAAGCTTAAGTTCCCTAGGACATGTCGTCATCTTTTACACCTCTTTGCTATGTACAAGCAGTTATCTCCGCCTGGAATGCCCTTCTCTCTCTCCCCTTGTCTATCTGGCAAAATAGTTCATCCTTCAAGAGCCAGCCCTGGATCACCTCCTGTATGAAAGCTTCCTTGACCTCCCCACATGGAACTGACTGTTCTTTCTTTTGTGTTCTCATTGTAACTTGTCCTTCACCTCTTTGTCAACTGGTCCTTTACAAAATGTATCACATTGTATGGAGATTGTTTACTTTAAACCAGTCTTCCCTGTGAGTGCCTCAAGGACAGAGTCTAAGTTGTTCATTTTTAGATTATCAGAGAACAGCAGTCCCTGACACAAGGTAGGAACTCAATAAATGTTTGCTGAATTGTCTTGAGACCCCATCCCGGTATAGTAGAAAGACACCCTTCTTCTCACAAAGTGTCTGGAGTAAAACAATTGCTGTAGACAGGGGCCCTGGGTGGGGGCAATGCTTGTGAGGTATCTGCTGCCTGGTCATGCCATTCCAAGAAGAGGTATAGGTTGGACCTCAACATCTGTGGTCTCTCCAAGACCCCATGGTGAGCTCCTCTCTGTGGCCCACCACCAGCCTCCCCACCCCACCGCCTTCCTTACCTGTCCTCTTTGTTGATCTGGTCCCCAAAGCCCACAGTGCTAACGACTGTGAGCTTTAGCCCCACGTTGCTCTCTTGGAGGTCATAGGTATTGGACCGCAGCTGGACACCTGGTTGCGTGTGGGTAGCTGGCTCCCCCTCGAACTTGGTGTTGAACAGGGTGTCCATGAGGGTCGATTTGCCCAACCCTGTCTCTCCTGAAAAGCAAAAGGGTAAATTATGGTTCTTCCACACAATGAATATACAGCCATTACAAATCATATCTCAGATGCGTATTTATTGACATGGGAAAATGTACATGATAAAACATTAAGTTAAAAGTATATAGAACGATACAAACTATATGATCTCAGTTAAGTGAAAAAGACTGAAAGGAACTGCACCAACATTTTAAAAAAAACCAAACCAAATCCATTCCTCTCGAGTCGATCGCCACTCATAGCGACCCTATAGGGCAGAGCAGAACTGCCCCCTAGGGTTTCCAAGAAGCAGCTGGTGGATTCGAACTGCTGACCTTTTGGTTAGCAACCTAAGCTTAACCACTGCTCCACCAGGGCTCCGCACCAACATATCAGCAGTAGTTTCCTCAGGATAGCGAAATTGTGGTAATTTTTATTTTATTCTTCATATATTTTTGTGTTATTTGAAACTTTTGCCACGAGTATGCATCGTTTTTATACTCAGAAGAAAATTATGTTGCAGGCAGTGATGGAGAGGAATAGTTATGCCTAGAAAAAAGATTGGAAGGAAATATAATACACTCTTAACAATGGCTACCTCTGGGTGGTGGGATTGTGTGTGATTTTCATTTTCTTCTTTATGCTTTTCTGGATTTTCCAATTTTTCTGCAAGGAACATGCATAGTTTTTGTAATAAAAATTAAAAGGCAGAACTACCACATGACCCAGAAATCCCAATCCTAGGTATATACCCAGAAGTGAAAATAGTAACGCCAACAGAAACCTGTACACCAATGTTCGTTGAAGCACTGTTCACAATAGCCAAAAGGTGGGAATAGCCTAAATGTCCCTCGGTGGTTGAATGGATAAACAAAATATGGTACATACATACAAATGGAATACTACTCAGCCAGTAGGAGAAATCAAGTTCTGATACATGCTATAACATGGATGAACCTTGAAAACATTATGCTGAGTGAAATAAGTCAGTCATAAAAGGAAAAATATTGTATGATCCCACTAATAGGCAAATGCATAGAGACCAAAGTTTATCAGTGGTTACTAGGGAGGGGGAGGAGCCCTGGTGGTGCAGTGGTTAAGAGCTCAGCTACTAACCAAGAGGTCAGCAGTTTGAATCCACCAGCTGCTCCTTGGAAACCCTATGGGGGCAGTTCTCCTCTGTCCTATAGGGTCGCTATGAGTGGGGATTGACTCACCGGCAACAGGGAGGGAGGGGGGAAAGGGAGTCATTACTTAAGAGGCACTGAGTTTCTGTTAATGGTAGTTGAAAGGAGAATGGCGATGGTTGCACAACATGATGAACGTAATCAATGTCACTGAATTGTACACGTCAAAAATCTTGAACTGGCAGACGTTTTGTTATACATATTTTCACTACAATAAAATAAAAGATTAAACAAGTATGTCAACTAAACATAACGCATGATCCTGAACTAGGGAAAAAAAAAATACAGTAAAACCTGCGAAAGCCGGAACCTATATATGTTGGAAAAATGTCAGAGAAGGAAAACCCATAGTTTCCACTAAAAGGAGAGATAGCAAAGTAGTAAGACTGCACCCTGTCAAAGGCGGAAAACTTGTGAGACCCGGCTCTCACAGGTTTCACTGTATAAAAAAAATTAAAAGGCTTTTTTAAAATAAAAACACAAAAAGACAGTGGTCCCCTGTCAAACAAATATCCTCTCCTCCCAGCCCCTGCCTCACTCCTGGCCAGACTCCGACAGCGTTCTGTAGATGCTGCCAGAAGAGGTATCCCAGGGGAGATGGCGCAGGGGCCCTTGCCGTCTCCTCCCAGCCGTGCTGAGCTTTCAGGGAGACCATTTTTAGCTAATAGGGAGGGAACTTAGCAGGCCACACATTCTTCTTCTCCTCAAATTTCAAACAAACCAGCCATTTGTTTGTTTAACTAACAGGCTGCAGGCTAATAATAAATTCAACTATTGGAATTCCAAGTCTTAAATTTCGCACCAGAGAGGTGAGTTCCAAAGGGCTGTGGGGAGCTGGTGAAGGCTTTTTTTTGTTGGCGGATGGTTCCAAGGAGTCCAAGGGCTGTCAAGCCACTGCCAGGAGCCAAGGTGTGTCTTAAGAGGATGGGAGCATGACAAGAAATCACAAGTTGGTGGCTGAACACCATGATGAACGTAATTAACATCACTAAACTGTACATGTGAAAATTGTTGAAACGGCAAATGTTTTGTTACCTATGTATTTACCACAGTAAATAAATAAAGTTAAAAAAAAGAAATCACAAGCCGTAAGGAAGATGGGTGGAAGCCTCGGCGGCAGGGGAGTTAGGTAGGAAGCTGAAATGAGACCACAAGCTGGGCTGGACACTACAACAGCTGGTAATCTCCTCCTATCTCGCCCGTATTTGCCCCCTACCCCCACCCCACGCAATTCAGGAATACCAGAAATAAAATAAACAGTAGTTAATTATCCTGGACTGCCCGTTGAATACATAGGCTAGTTCTATTATCATCAGCCCTCTTCTCCCCTTTCCCCCTCCCCAACCTCTGGGATGTGAGCTTTGACTTGTCTTCCCAGAAGGGTGGGTTTGCATCGGGCAAATCCTGTCCAATTCTGGCCTGGCAAAGCAGCCCCAACCCCCCTTGTGACTAACAGCACACATCTGCAAGGTGATCCAGGGCTTGAGTTACAGCTACAAATGGTTCATCTCCCCTCCACCCTCTGGGTGTGTCTAGCTTTGCATCTTCCATGCTTCTTCTACCTATGAAGGCAAAGGGTGCTTTTAAAAACATTTATCCATGCACAATTAGATGGTGCCCGGCTACCACCACTGACTGCTCTGAAAGGGATCACAACAGAGGGTCCCGGACAGAGCTGGAGAAAAATGTAGAACAAAATTCAAACTCGCCAAACAAAGACCAGACTTACTGGCCTGACAGAGACTGGAGAAACCCCGAGAGTATGGCCCCCTGGGCACCCTTTTAACTCAGTACTGCAGTCACTCCTGAGGTTTACTCTTCCATCAGAGATTAGGCAGGCCTATAAAACAAACAATAATGCATGTAGTTCAACCATGTATAGGAGACTAAATGGGCACAGCAGCCCAGGGGCAAGGACGAGAAGGCAGGAGGGGACAGGAAAGCTAGACGAATGGAAATGGGGAACCCGAGGTCGAGAAGGGGAGAGTGTTGACACGTCCCAGGTTTTGGCAACCAATGTCACAAAACAATATGTGTATTAATTGTTTAATGAGAAACTAATTTGCTTTGTAAACTTTCACCTAAAGCACAATTAAAAAAAATTTATCCACGATGAAGAACTTCCCATGTGTGGAGAGAGAGGTGAGAAAGAGAAAGAGAGAGAACACAAGGAGAACAGTCAATTCAGCCTTACTACATGGCCCCCAGCCCAATTTCATAGCCAGTTCCAGTTCTGACTAATGTGGTCGACTACCAGGTTGCAGGGAAATGGCTCCTCACACAGATCATGTTTCCAGCCAGGGTCTGCTATACCCATTAGCAGAGAAGCCTCTCCAAGACAGGCCCCCTTTTTCCTCCCTAAAGCAACAAGAAGTATTTGGGCCCCAAGAAAAATTTGGTAAGGTGGGATCTTTGCCATGGGAGGTGGCAGACTTGTCCAAGCACTGGAATTTAGCAACCCCACCCCCCACCCCACCCCCACCTAACGGGTGGGTGTGAAGCTCAACTGCTAAAATGGGGCCAGCACCTCTGAGATGGAAACACTAGGGTGGCTCCCTCTCCCTGACTTGCTTCCACTCTGGGCGCTGAGGTTTCAGCTAGAGCGTGGTGCGCCCTGTGTCTCCCTAACACGAAAGCTGGCTCCCTGGCTCCTTGATCCCAGGAGTTCTCTGACAGCAGGAGATGGGCATCTTCCTGTACTCCAGAGCGCGAGGTTCACGCAGAAGGTCTCAGGAGCAGCTCTACTTCCTACTTACAGAGTCAGGGCCCCACCCTGTTTGCACAGCTGGAGAAACGGAGGCCAGGCAAGGCAGAGCAGAGCAGGGAGGAGCAGCAGGGGAAATGACCACCCAAATGCCTGCCAGCACAATAGGGCTGTGGAAATCAGATGCCAAGTGATTAATGTCTGGAAGAAAAGAACCAACGGGTGTCAAGGGAATCGTGGTAAATGCAGCATTAGAAAAGAGCAGAAAATCAAGCAAGCTCGTCCTATAGCTATTGAGTGCTCTAGTTCCAGTTTTCCATCAGTGTGGAGGCCTGGGGCAGGGGGGTCGGGCAGGCTGTCCCTCAATGGCCGGCACAGATCCAACCTGAGTCTGGGATGCTGTCCCCTCCCACCACTGCCCTGGGCCCAGTATTGTGTGTGATGGTGTGTGTATGTGTGTTGGAGAGGAGGGAGAGCCCACATATGGCCAAAGCTGAAGCTTGATTGTGATCAGGTCATGGGGATTCCAAGCCCCTGCAGGAAGGTAGGGATTTAGCAAGTAGATTCCAGCAGGAAATAGGAGGGGTCCCCAGGGGTCAATTTCTCTCCCCTTCTCCCCAGCCCTCTCAGAGCTCCTCACAGTGGACAGCAGGGTTTCTTAACCCCTTTGAACTCATGCTCCGCCAGCCAAGAGAATTTCATCTCACTTTGCTTTCTGTAGATAATATTCTGAAAACAACAAGTTTTTTAAAAAGTAATTGAAATTTAAAGAACATAATAGGAAATATGCTTTTTCAAACTACGCTCCCTGGGATAGTCGGATGTCAACCTCCCCACCCTGCATTAAAAAGCACTGTTGTACAGAAAAGCTTCACCCTTTTCCTCATCTGCTGTTACTATTTGCATCCTCTGGCACCTTGTATGATTAAGTCCTTGCAAGTTATCAAATGAAGAGTCTTAGCCAGATTATCACTAAATTACTGTGTGACCTGGGCCAAGCCCTTTCCCCTCTCTGGACCCCAATTACTGTTGTCAGGCACTGTTGTCAATATTTTACGTATATTTTCTTATTCATTCCCCACAATAAGCCTATGAGGTTGTTGTTGTTGCGTGCCATCGAGTGGATT